TACGACTAGGTAAGCCTAACAAATGCGGAAACAAACCAATCTTGCAGAATAAATAATCAAAAGCCGAATAACTTAAAGAAATAGTATTTAAATAGTGCTCGGCATATACACACAACTTTCAAAATCTGATACGCTACCCCAAAACCTGGAAACTCACGAATCCACAAGCTGAGAAAACACTACATAGCTCTAATCTCCGGAATGTCTAATCAAGAACATAAAGTACAGAAGGGCTAAATACTAGATGCATGAATAGAAAAAGACTCCTCGGTATGCGGACGCGGCAGATATACCTCAAGACCCGTAGAATCGCCTCGCCTCAAGAATAGTAAGCCTCAGTAGAGGTACCTGGATCTGCACATGAAAAACATGCGCAGGAAGGGCATGAGTACACCACAACGGTACTCAGTAAGTGCCAAGCCTAACCTCGGTTGGGTAGTGACGAGGAAGGTCAGGGCCCTACTGAGGTTAAATAAGATATAAGGTTTAACAGTGTGAAATAAACAGTGTAAATAAGTAACACAAGATATAAAGGACAACAACAACTATCACAGAGGCAAGTAAAACACAGTAAGAGATACATCTTAGCTCCAAGATAACAACCGGGGATCTTCCAAGATACCGTCCTGTAGTCCCCAAATATAAATATCATATCCAGTGGATCTCCCGGGTGCAGTCCCGTAGTCAAACTCATAAATGTGCAGGGAGATCTCCCGGAATGCAATTCCGTAGTCCCAAAGTAAACATACAGGGGAGCTCCCGGGATACCGTCCCGTAGTCCCAAAGTAAAAGTGCAGGGGGATCTCCCGGAATACTGTTCCGTAGTCCCAAAGTAAACATGCAGGGGAGCTCCCGGGATACCGTCCCGTAGTCCCAAAGTAAATACGAAGCAACAATAGGAATTCAATCCAATCAATTTCATATCAAAGTGAAGCAGGTAATCGTAACCTAACATGGTTCACGTAATACAATTAAGGCAGTTAAGGCAATTAGAGCAATTTAGTCAAGTAGACATGCTTCTCTAGGCTACAACAGGTTTAGTTTCCAAACAGTGTAAGCAAGAAAAGGAAGAACACAATTCAAGGCTATTTTTAATGAAAAACCGGATTTCCAACAATTAGCACAAGTACGCGCTCGTCACCTCACGTACGAGGCATTTCAATTACCACAATATCAATCCTAAGGGGAAAGGTCCCCCACACAAGGTTAGACAAGCGACTTACCTCGAACAAGTGCAAGTCAGCCCGAAACCACGCCTTTGCCACGAGTATCCGACTCCAAATGGTCCAAATCATTCAATTAAGTTTCATAATATAAATAACACTTCAAGTAACTGATTCTATAATTAAATTCTAAGCTAATACGCGAAATTAGGTAAAATGACCAAAATGCCCCTCAGGCCCACGTCTTAGAATCGGATAAAATTTACATTTTTAGAAACCTCGTACTCTCGTGACTCTAAACATAACAAGAACACTGAAATCGGAGTCCAAATGACCCCTCAAATCCTCATTTAAAGGCCTCTTAAACTCATGCCCTAATTACCCATTTTTCCCAAATTTCTCATCACTAATTAGGTCTTTAATCACATAAAAATGAGTTATGAAGTCAAGTACGTTACCTCCAAGCGATTCCCCTTTGTTTTCCTAAAAAATCTCTCTCAAAAGCTTCAAACCCGGATGAAAATGGTGAAAGAACGGCTCAATTTCGCAAAGGCAACTATTTATGTGTTCTGCCAGCAATTGCCGCATTTGCGGCCCTGGGACCGCATCTGCGGTCCAGCTTCTGCGGAAACTACGTCGCATCTGCGACTTTCATTTAAAAGCCAGATTCCGCATCTGCGGAACTCTAACCGTAGGAGCGGTTGCGCTTCTGCAAAAAACTCACCGCATCTGCGGTTCCTGAGGGAATTCCGAAGTTTCGCTTCTGCGGCCACTTAGCCGCTTCTGCGGCACCGCATCTGCGGTCACCCTACCGCAGATGCGAAAATACCAGAAGCAGCAAAAATAAAGCAGCTGCAACATCTTCTAAATTTCTCGCCAACCATCCGAAATCATCCCGAGGCCCCCGGGACCTCAACCAAAGGCACCAACAAGTCTAATACCACTCCCCAAACTTGTACTAATCCTTAATACACCTAAAACAACATCGAAACCTCAAATTAACCATGGATTCAAGCCTAAGAACTCCAAATTTCTCAAAATACGCTTTCAATCAAAAAGTCTATCAAATCTCGTCCGAATGGCCTGAAATTTTGTACACACATCCCAAATGACATAACGGAACTACTGCAACTCTCGGAATTCCATTCCAACCCTCGGATCAAAATCTCACTATCGAACCAGAAACATCAAAATTCGACCTTTCGGCGTTTCAAGCCAAAATTAGCTACGGACCTCCAAAACACAATCCGACCACGCCCCTAAACTTGAAATCACCTAACGGAGCTGACGGAACCATTGGATTTCCATTCCGAGTCCGTCTTCACGCTGTTCCGAATACGGTCAACTTTCCAACACTTATGCTCTCATTTAGGGACTAAGTGTCCCAAAACTCTATGAAACTTAAAACCGAACATCCCGACAAATCAAAATAGCAGAAATAAACTTGGGGGAAGCAGTTAATAGGGGATCGGGGCGTAAAATTCCAAAAACGACCGGCCGGGTCGTTACAGCTCGGGTGCCAAGAAAGGGTCACTATAGAATGAGTAAAGGCTTGTAACATGATTTTCAAATGAGAAAGGCTAAAGGCTCGAAGGCTTTGACTAGGGATGACATCATTGGTAGACAATAGAAAACTCCAACGGGCCAAGGAAAGCCTACAATCACTTCTCAAGCCAAGAAAAACTTACAATTTTGCCTTAAAACACATTCGGGGCAAGTTCTAGTCCTTCCACACACATACTCGGACTAGCAACAAAGCATCTCACCCCTCACGCAACTAGGTTGTTAAAGAGGATAGAGTCGAGAGCCCACTATGACCACATTCAATATTGAAGATCATTGTGGTCCAATTAGACCACTCGATGGTATCAAAGTCAACACAAGAGTCACAAAGTCACTAACTAGAGCTATTTCCTTTTAAAAATCCTTGTCTCTAACCATAAGCGCGTAGTTAAATGTGTTGGTGCCAGATGAAGCATGTTTGACTCTTCGAATTTAACTTAATCAAGTCTTGTTATTCATTATTACTACTATTACCACCTAGACACCAAAGACGGACTCAATCCCTTAAGAAGGTTGTCACGTCATCCATCGTTGGGAAGAGTCATCCGGTTCACACAAAAACTACCTTTGGAAAAAATCGTGGCATAAAGAAAACTAAAGGCTTATTGTCCACTAAAACATAAAAGAAGCTACTAATCAAAAAGAAGCTATTAAATTAAAAGAAGCCACTAAATTAAACACTAACTAACAAGAAAATAAAACGGAAAAGGGTCAAGTATATCCCACTACTATCCGAAATTATTTAAAACTACCCTCCGTTTGACTATTCATCCATTCTTAGCCCCACCGTTATAGTATTGATCAATTATACCCTATTTTTAACAGAGGGACACGTGGCACGCAGAGAACAAAAACCTACCCCCAATTATTATACCCAGTTCGCTTACAACCCTGCCCCAATTTTAACCCATTCCCCCACCTTAGACCAGCGTCTTCTTCAGCCAAAGAGCTCCTTCCCTTTCTTCAAGTTTTCTTCTCCAGCCAAATACCTCATTCTCTTTCGTCAAATCTTTCCTCACTTAAGCTTCTAGACTATCATGAGTAGTCAATGGGTGAATAATTCAGTAACAACCAAGGTGGTTCTGGAGAGTTTATATCTTCTTTTTCATCGGGGAAATCAAATGCAGAAGAAAGCATTAGAAACAGCCTAATCAAATTGATGTATTAGATGCAGTTGCTTAGTCCTCCATGGAACTTGAAATTCCAAGGGAGTTTTACCGCAACTTCATTAATAATTTGCTAAATTCTTTTGGAGATTACATCTTCTTTTCCATTATTTATTACTGAATATTTTTCTTCAATTTATTAATAAATTCTCAGTATATTGATATTCAGATTCTTGCATATGTCTGGAAATTATTGGAGACATTTTGACATGATTTTTCTAATAATAAATTGTATTTCTTCAACCACCACTGCTCCATTATCTCACACCACCTTCGGCAGCAATTTCATCATTTTCGGAGCCAAAGTAAGCTGAAAGGCACCTGTGAATATCTAGGAAAATTTAATTGCTTTTCTTTTGCAATTCATTTATCATTTTAGTTATTGATTTATATATGATGTTCAGTGAAGAAACATTTTTTTAAGGAGGGTCTGATGGTGGAGTTATTGAAGAAGATGGTGATGGCTTTAGTGTTTGAAGAAAAGAACTGATCGTGAATGAGTAAGTTTAGGGGTTTTCTGGTGAGAGAAAACGTTAGTGGAGACGAACGGGTCAAAATAAAGGATGGGCAACCAGGTATATTAATAATTGGGGGTGGGTTTTTGTTCTCCGCGTGCCACGTGTCCCTCCGTTAAAAATAGGGGTATAATTGATCAATACTATAACGGTGGGGCTGAGAATGGACGAATAGTCAAACGGAGGGTAGTTTTAAATAATTTCGGATAGTAGAGGGATATATTTGACCCTTTTGCAAATATAAAATAAAGAATCTACAAAGCAAACTACTAAAAGTGTAATGAATATACATAATGAGAGAGGAAAAGAGAGAATATATATATCATGAGAGAAAGGAGAGAACATATACAGAATAAGGAGAAAGAAGAAAATTTTGTCAGTTATTGAAAACCAATTGTCTCAGAATCATCCAAATAGATCAAATAAACTCCCCCCTCCCCCCGAATAAAAATAGGCATTGCACGTCTTAAGTCAATTGATGTAAGCTCAGAAATGAGATCATCTTCGAAAGTACATAAAGTAAGTTAATCATGTTACCATGGAGGATTTTTTTTTTGAGCATGAAAAGGTACTTATATTATAACATAGGTATGCTACTGCCCGTGAACATTGTCATTAGTACATATGCCGTCATAACCTAATATTACGCCTTGTAAGGCACTATCATTTCCTAAAGCAGCCATACGACCACATTGGTCTCTAGAACAGTGTCTAACATATACATACCCAACCTGATCTTTGTCATATACATATAAGACAAGTTCAGGTGGCAAAACAAAAGTACATAATTTATTGTAGCTACGTTGCATTAGTGCTGCTTTTGCCAAAACATGAGCCACCATATTCCTTTCACGGAAGCTATGCTTCAATGTGATTGTCCCCTGCCTGGATGCCTCGTCCATTAACCACCTGCATTCATGAAGTAAGTTATTGTAAGTAGGGTAATCATCACTAAGGAGACGTATAACCTCAATGGCATCAGTTTCTACTTCAACTGGGAGTATGTGTTCCCTGATAATTAATTGAAGTGCATGCCGAAAATCTTGGAGTTCTATTTTTATTGGTGATATTGCTTGAATTTTCTTGTAGTAGCCTGTCTTCCATTTCCCTTTGTAGTCACGAACTACTCCACCGATGCCCCCCTCCAGTAAGCTTCTTTTGAATGCACCATCGATATTAGCCTTAAACCAACCTTTTGGTGGCGGCTGCCATTTAACAATCACCTTTATGATTTTATTGTAAGTACTGATCGTGCCTGTGAGAAGAGTGTATTCTAGTGTTTGATCAATAACCTTTTAACATTGATGTGAGAGTTGGTGTTGTTGTGATTGTTATGGTTTTTGTTGTTCCATATGGCCCAAAGAGCAAATGGTAGTGCTTCTTTCCAAGTTACATAATTAAAAAAAATCCTTAGGAGTTGTATCCCTTAGTAACTCCAACCAGTTATTAATCAGCCCATTATTGTTAGTAGACACTCCTAGGGTTTTCTAGAAAGCCTGAGCTATGTTACATTCCCAGAAAATGTGGTATATAGATTCATTATTATTCTTACATATTGGGCAGGTTGGATCTATATTGATACCAATTTTAGCAAGGTAGCCTCTTGTTGGGAGTCTTTTATGGTAGAGTTTCCAAATGAAATACTTGATCTTGTTAGGACATTTTAGTTCCCAGATCCACTTAAAGGTCAGTGTATGGGGTGTTTGGTCATCAATTAGGTTATAGGAAGAGGCAGTTGTGAATATACCACTTGGGTTAACACTCCAAATAAGATTGTTTGGGTTGTTGACTTGGCAATCACGATCTAGAGCATTTATACTGTTAGTGATTATTTGAGGGAGGTCAAATGAAAGTTTCTCTAAATCCCAACCTTTATTATCCCATATGTCTTTAATGGTTAACTTATCCTCATTTTTTTAACGGCCTTGAAATAATATTATGTAGACTTTGAATGTTTGGGATCCAGTTTGAGTCCCAAATATTCATATGAGAATGTTTATCTACTGGCCACCTAATGCCTTTATGGCAAATAGTCCAACCCTTTAGGAGACTTTTCCAAGTGATTGAGGAGCCATTTATTCTCCTACTCGTCCCATAAATGCTAATAAGTGTTTTAGCCCATAAGGAGTTTGTATTAGTAAGGATCCTCCATGCTAAGCTTGTTAAGAGGGCTAAGTTTTTAGACTTAGCTTTCTTGATGCCCAAACCACCATTAAGCTTAGTGTTGGTTACCGTACTCCATCCAATAAGGTGGATTTTCCTTTTTTCCCTCGTAGTCCCCCAAAGGAAGTCTCTCTGAATTTTATCTATTTCTTGAAGTGTTTTTGTTGGAAGGAGACTTATTTGCATTAGGTGGTTTGGTAGCGTATTTAGAGTAGAAGTTATTAAGGTGCACCTCCCCGCCATGCTTAGCCACCTTGCATTCCAATTGTTTAGTCTAGCACGCATTTTGTCAAGTAATGGTTGGTAATCCTTATGCCTAGGGTAGTTATTTAGCATTGGAAACCCTAAGTATGTGCCAAAGGTCTTGCTAATGGTAATCCTAAAAGTTTGAGTAGCCATGTCTTTCGTGTGTTTATTACAACTCTTAGACATGACCAGCTTAGATTTTCCTTTGTTGATATTTAGGCCGGACACATAACTAAACTCCACCATACATCCACAAATTGTATTAAAGGATTTCCCCTTGGCTTCACCCATAAGGGTTAGGTCATCAGCAAAAAACAACTGAGATAGGGGTGGGGTTCTAGGATTAAGCTTTATAGGTATCCAGTTCCTTGTATCTACTTGGTGGTTAATATTTTTGGAAAGCATATCCATACAAAGTATGAATATATAGGGTGACATGGGATCCCCTTGTCTAATACCTCGTGTGGGAGTGAACTCCTTAGTTTTGTTGCCATTGACTAAGATGGAAATGATACTTGCAGTAATACAACTAAGGATAAGGTCACTAATTTTTCTAGGAAATTTAAAGAATCTAAGAGTCCGATAGATGTAAGACCATTCCAACTTATCGAAAGCTTTTTCCAAGTCAAGCTGTAGTAAGAAATTTTCCCTTCCTTTGGCTATATTGAATTTCTTTAAAACTTCTTGGATGATGATAGCATTGTCACTTGCTCTCCTACCCTTTATAAAGCTAGCTTGTTCAATATTGATCAATTGGTTAATAAAAGGCTTGATTCTGTTGGCGATTACTTTAGTGATCACCTTATAGATCATGTTACAAAGACTTATTGGTCTAAAGTTCTTCAAGTTATTTGCATTATGAATTTTAGGAATTAGGCAGAGATAGGTCGTGTTGACCTCATGGGGCATTAGATGTGTTGAAATTTTTTTGGCATAAGTTGATTACCTTGCTTCCTAATATGTGCCAAAATCTTTGGAAGAAGAAGGGGTGTAACCCATCGGGACCTGGTGCCTTATAGGGCTTGAAAGAAAACACAACTTTTCTAATTTCTTGATTAGTTAAAGGCTTGTCTAGGCTAGAGAGATCAGTGTGAGAGAAGTTGGTAGCATCATTTTTAATAGATTTCCAGTCGGACCTATCATGGGATGTTGTAAAAATATTTGAGAAGTACTATGTAACATGGCTAATAAGGGAGGATTGGTCTTCAATCCAATTCCCTGAGTCGTCTTTAGAAAACACAATATTGTTTCTTCTCTTCCTATTAGTTGCTTTTATGTGAAAAAACTTAGTATTAGCATCCCCTTCGTTTAACCAATTGACTCTAGAGCGAATCTTCCAGTAGTCTTCTTCAAGTTTAAGAATTGTATTATACTCCTCAATCAGATTTGTTTCTAAGTCCTTAAGGAAATAGCTGGTTGGATAATTAGTATATTTTTGAATCCCATCAATTCTATTTAGGAGTTTTCTCTTCCTTGCAAAAATATTACCATAGGTTATTTTTTGCCAGTCTAACACATTTTTTTGAAAAGATTTAGTCCCTCCCATTAGGTCCTTATTTTCCCAGCTAGTAGAAACAAGCCTACTGAAATCCGGATGTGAACACCTATATGTTTCGAATCTAAAAGGTCTGTCCTTATTGGAATTGATTCTATTGTTGAGGTTAACAAGCACAAGATTATGGTCTGAATGAATTTTTGGAAGATGAGTTATGGTTACATTAACAAAGGCTTGTAACCACTCATCATTTGAGTAAACCCTATCCAATCTTTCCATTATCAGACCCTTTCTTCTCCTACGATGGTTTGACCGGGTGTATTTACACCCTTTAAAACCAAATCTACTAGATTACAATAGATTAAGCAATCTATTAAAGAATTTGCTCGTTTCTGGTTGATATTTCTACCCCCATACTTATCACTAGAATTAATTACTTCGTTAAAATCACCTCCCACTAACCAAGGACCTTTGTAGTGGTCATAGATACTTCTTAGATTATCCCATAACATATATCTATGATGAATATCATTACTAGCGTAAATGGCAGTAAATAACCAAGATAAGTTTTTAGGCTTTACCTCGATCATTGCATGGATGGCTTGCCCATTTCTAGTGAAGTTGTTGACTGTCACCACTTCATTGTTCCACAGAAGTACAAACCCTCCACTTTGGCTAACTGATGGGACCTCTATCATCTCTGTAAAACTAAACGCCTCTAGGATATATATGTGGCTCTCCATTTTTGTTTTCAAGAGTGCAACCAAACAAGGTCTGTGAGTGTCCATAAGTTCCCTAAAATTCCTACCAAAGTTGGTATTATTGGCACCTCTAACATTCTAAATTATAATGTTATTTGGCTGATGCATGGGATTTTTATTGGGGGGGAGGGGTTGTTATTGTGAATCCTTCTGAGCGAGGGGACTAATATCACTACATTCTTCCCCGCAGTTGGGTCCTGTGGAGGTCGAATGTCCAGTGAGCATTTGTAAAGAGTCGCTGGGCGACTGAAGATAGACTTCCTATCTAGCATTTCCCTGAATATGCGTATTTTTACCTCGCTTAGGCTTGAAAAAGCCACTGCTGACTCCCCCAAGTGTGGCAAGTTTTTCTCCTCCTCTCCTTCCTCTTGTAACCCTTCCTGGTTTGGCATGTCTTGGACTGGAGCTTGCTCGGCCATTGGATCTGGTTGTGGGTCGTGTTGATGGTTGTGCATGGTCTGAGTAGTCCATTGTGTGAATACTGGATTCATGAGCATTAGATCCTCCGGAGTAAAGAATGGAAGATTTAGAGGTGGGTTTTAAAGCATCTGCTGGTTGGGGTTGTGTGGAATATTCCACATCTGTTGCATGTTGTTTACTAGGTTTTGATTCGTTGACGGGGCTAGTGGTTGGAGAATGTTGCTCATCCACATTTGGTTTACGTAGTTGTTCATGAATAAGTTCATCCCCTCTGAGATCAACTGAGCTAGGAAGTGTGTGTCTTGGAATATGAGGATGGATTCTTGCCCATTTAACTCCATGTTGAAAGACACTGCACGGACTTGAAGCCCCAGTTCCACCCACGATTGTGGTATGTGGTTAGGAGGGCTTGGTGTCTGAGCATAGATCACTGGGTTTGAGGGGAATTGGGGTGGAAGATTTGGTAGATTGTTCATTGTTGGATTTCAAGAGAGATGAATCAGCTGTATCAATCGAAATCTTCTCCTTAATGTGAGTGGAGGTCTTGGCATTTTGGTAAGCTTGGTTGTTTATATAAGGAGTGGTAGGAAGGTGATTTTGGGGGGGGGGGGGAGGGGGGGTTGCTAATAATTGCCTCTATTTGTATAGCTGGGCAGATTGTTGCGTGAGGTTTATATCAAAATCCAACATGGATATATCCTCTGCCACTTGGCTGCTTTTGTTTTCCAAGTGTTTGAGAGAGGATTGGTTATGAGGGGTGAGACATGCATGCTGAGTAGGAATGTTTTTATTATAGTTTTGTAATTATTGTTAGTAGAGTAATGGATTACTTCTTGGCTTGTCGGATTGGTAATTGTGTGGAGTGTGTCCAAGTTCATTGCATTAAGCAAAGGATTTTGTTCATTAATCATGCCTGGACAAGGTGCCACGTCTCTGTGACATTTGTAAGAAGGACAACTTCTTCTTCATGCAGATTTTTTGTTTTTTGAAATTTATTTTTGTTTTCCTCTTTTCCCAAAACCTTGTGCTGATTAGCTGGTTTAGCAAGACTAGTTTCACCTTCATCATTTGGTTTAGCAACTTGAGTTTTGTCGACAAAAGTTTGTTCATTACTAAGATCAGATTGAAATATGCTTACCAAAATTATTTGGAATATTAGTTAAAATCTGTTTGTTAATATAACTTAAAGGCTGGGTATTGAGATACTTACCTGACACAGCATCATACATTCGAACATTTATACTTGGGGATATGTTTGCACTAGCCTTTTCCTTTTGCTGATTGGCTGCCTTAGCTTTGCCCTTTCTAGGAAAAGAAACTCTCATCCATTCCCCTACATGCTCAGTTTTGGACAGTGGTGGCTCAATGTCTGATTGGTCTGCCTCTTTTTCAGTTGGTAAAGTTGCTTGTGAGCATCGCAGACTTGTGTGTCCCAGCTTGCCACATGCTTTGCATAGAATATATCACCGTCGTCTAGAATGAGTTGTTTATGTTTGCCAATTAGAAGGTAGTTTTGTACTGGTTATTCAAGAGGCAACTCCACACACAATCTGGCATAACTCCCCCTTAATGTAGTTGAGGTGCATGCATCTACTTTGAGCAATTTGCCTATGTAGTTGTCAATTCTTGAAAGTATAATTTCATCGTAAAATTCCGTGGGTAATTGTGGGAGACGAACCCACACAGCTGTATAGCTTGGTGAGCTTCTTTGGCCACAAAATTTGGTACCCATTTTTGGATTGAAAGAAAGAATCCATTGATGAACCAGGGTCCATTATGCAGTATTTTTGTCATATTTTCCTCCCTGGCCAACTTGACAGTGTAGTAATCTTCTTCAAGATCGATGAGAGGAAAGTTCTCATTAATTTTCCATAGGTCTTGTAGTTTTTTTAAGTAGTGATGCACCAGTCGTTTGCCTATAAGCTTTATGATGACTGAGAATTTTCAAGGGCTATACATACGTTTTATGTCCTCCTCAGACAGGAATATTTGCTTCAGTTTGTTGGATAGCATCCCTGAGTTCGTGTCATCCAATTCAGTTTGCTGGATATCCATGGGGTGTGTTGGGATATCTTCAACTGGTGGAGTAGCGTTGTTGATGAAGAACTCATCCTGTAGTAGAGTCTCCTTATAGGATGGTGTGTTTGGTGGTTGAGGATTGAGTTTGTCCGGTGGTCTAGGAGGAATGTGATTGTGGGTAGTGGAGTGTTGTTGTAGTGAGAGGTCGCTCATTCTCTCTCTAGTAGTTGATACCTGTGCTTGCTTGTTCGGAAGTGATTATGTTACCATGGAGGTTACAAATATTTAAGATGATGAATACTAAGTACCAAGAGGGTGGGAAGGCTTAGAAGCTAAACGGATTGAAGAAAATAAGTTCCGCCGAAAGTCGACAAGTTGGAATGTTATAACATGTACTTTGGGGTGAGAACAGGGTGCTTAAAATTATAAGGATATTGTTTTATGAGTTGTTTTAGTCATATGATAGACGTGTGTTATGTTTTGAAGTCAAGCGAGTTATGGAACAAAAGTTTGAAAAGGTCATCACAAGTTACATTCATAAATATGTTGAAACTTAGGTAAAATGTAGCTGAGATTTTCTCCCGATATACTTGGAATTAGGGGATTATCTACCTACAAAATTGAAGATCTACGGGTCTAGTTTCTAGCACATTAAACTGTTCATCGATACGACATCGGAGTAGAGAGATATTTGCAGTTTCGCGAGACTGCACAGACTGCATAGGTGACAAGTAGGTGTGTCACTAAAGCTTTTTGAGCAATAAATTTCGTGTGTGATATGAGGTCTTTTGGGGACATATTATATACAAAATTGAAGGTCTTGGAATTTAGTTTCTAACGCTCTTAACCGTTCATTCATACAACATCCGGATAAAAAGATATAAGCATCGGAAGAAGGGCCAATGCTACGGTGCCAAGCTAGCACCTCTTTGACTTTTCAAAAGTTGATATATATATAGGGTTTTAAATCGTCTTTCTTCTCCTTTTTGATAGAACACGACCAGAGAACCCCCAAAAACTTACCCTTAAGCTCTGTACAAGGGTTCCAAAGAAGATTAACATCCCGGGTACGAAATCAAGAAGCAATAACATTAGAACGATACCTACAACGTAAGTATCGGTATATCGCCTCTCTTTTTCTTTGTAGTTTGAATTTTGGAAGTTACTTCACAGTTTAGAAAACACATACTTTCTGTGTTAAAATTTTAAATGTCAAGGAAGGTTGATTAATTTGTTTCCTAATAGTTAGAACTCACGGGACAGTGATCGGAAGCCGTGAGTTCGATTTATTTCACTTTTAGTGGACTATTTTGTAGTCCACTCGTGTTGCCCCTTGTGCTGATGTTTTATGGAGTTTTGGAGGATAAAAGGTGTGGATAACTACCACATAATGATGGAATGGTGGGCTGGTCGTTCGTCGTTACATTTTTTAGGTTGTTTGGCACTACTTTGGTTGTCGTTTTATGTATGAAATAATTAGGGTGTGTGGGCTGTTTTGTGGTATATTGTTATGGAGATAAGGTTGGAAAATGATGCATACATATTTTTATTGTTGCGTTCTTATTGTTGTTGGTATATGGTATTGGAGGAGGGCCTTGTTATAGGGTAGATGCTTCCCAAATTTACATAAAGGAGCTACTAGTTTAAGTTGTGGACTTAGCCTTTACTCAACACTGATTTTGAATCTCCTTATGATGTGGTAGATCGAGTTGAGTTGTTTGAAGAATTTCTTGGAAGGTATTAAGGACTCAAAGGAGTAAAGGTATGTTAAGGCTAAACCTTTCCTTCATTTTGGCATGATCCAGTAACTACATCTATTTGATAACGAGACATAAAGAGAAGTTCATATTCTTGAATTTATGTACATTGTCCTAATCTCATAAGTTACAGTATCCTCCCTTATCGGGACTTCATATTTAGTTTAGTTTTTTCTTCTTTCAGCCAAGAGAGCATAAAGTCTATATATATACAGTATTACAGTATTTTCACCACTATGGAGCTATAATCGATGGTCAGGACCCTATTGGGCAACCTCTTATCAGGTGGTAAGTTATATGCAGAGGGTTCTATGGCCTAGCACCTATGAGCGAGCCCAGATTGGCCGAGCGCCTATGAGGGAGCTTACTACGGCAAATCAGTTACACATATCGAGCCTTATAGGGCCGGACAACTATTTTACTTTATATTGAGAGAGATGAGTATATATCAACAGGTAAGCATATTTTCAAATTATATTTGACTCCCAGGTAATTTCAGTTATTATATTATTAGTTCAGTTTCAGTTTTAAGTTATTTTGTTGCCTTACATACTCGGTACATTATTTCGTACTGACGTCCCTTTTGCTGGGGACATTGTATTTCATGCTTGCAGGTCCTGAGAGACAGCTTGCTAGACCTTCCCAATAGAAAAAGTCAAACATCAGCTTGGTTGGTAAGCTCCATTTTCTCGGAGTTACCAAGTCTATACCTTGGAGTCTATTTTATATACATGTTTGATGGGTAGGTCGAGGCCCTGTCCCGACGATGATATAGTTGAGTTATCC